ATAGTCAGAAGTGTGTTTTATGATCTCAGAAATAATTGATCAAAACTGTATTTTGACTTTAGCCATTTTTCCATTTGTTGTTTATTTAGTAATCATTCCAAGTCAATTAATACATTTTCATGAATCTTATCCAATACATATTCAAAACTTAACAGTTCAAAAAATATTTCTTAATGACATTACCTATAACAATATAAATATAAATTTAAAATACCTACATTCTATCAATGGCAGRATTAAAACAGTAATACCACTAATACATATAAGTGAAAATAAATCACCTACATTTTTATAATTTTATTTTTATAAAATGTCTTATGATAATAACAATTTTAAAGCATTTGTTTGATCTAACAATTTTAGATTGAATAAAACTTTTTGGATTTATTACCTATTTATTATTTTGTTTTGCTTCAATAGACACATTTTAATATTTTCAACTAAGATAGCTTGGATAGTACCTGCTGTAATAGTACCATATAATACTATTGCCTATTGGTACTTACACTTGAATGTTAGACACTTGACTATGATAATTCATAAGTCATAAATACTATAATATAATATTATGGTATGATAATCACACRTATGTAATGATATATATTTATATAACTACCTAGGTATAATACACTATTACACTAATAGTGGCAATATTAGTAGAACTAACCTACCAAAGTGCTTATAAATTGATGTATCAGATAGATTGATATTAWATATTGAACAGAAAATTTGATGAATTCATATACCAATTGGATTCTAAATGCTTTATTTTTAAAAGTATAAATATATTTAGATTTTTAGGTACCTGTTACGAAGACCTGGAAATGACTWTTGAAGGTTTCTATTCAAGTATAGATTATAAGCCAAAGTTACCTAATAATGTGTAACTAKAATRCTTAACTGAGTAAAATTTTATTTACTTAACGAAATGTTTCTAAAAAAAATTTAACAGACTTAGCATGTTATGTTTTACATAGTTATTAATTTGGAMTTTCAATAGGTGATTATTAAGCATTTAAATCTAAAAACTACCTATTTTCTAAGTACTAAGATAATGAATTATTATTCATCTATTCATGCCTATTTAAAATCATCGGATATTACTGTATAAATATAAATATATATTATATAAAATAATTATTCCCAAATAGTAGTATTCTATTCGGTCAATGCAGCCGTTTTGAATTATCTTAATGAACGCTTTCTTAACTTCATCGCGGTTTATACTGACGGATCAGTCTCCCCTCTCTCCGCTGGATATGCGTTTTATATTCCTGATCTACAACTCT